ATTGACTTTTGTTATAATCAATATTATGAATTCCTTTTCTGATATTTCAGTGATTTCCTGTATGTTTTCTGTTGTTGATGGGGAGTTATTATATTTCTCTAGGGAAAGGTTTTTTGTTGTTGTTGTTTTTTAATGTTTCTTTTATCTCTGCAATGATTTTTTTTTAGCTAATGAGTGACTGCATGACTTTAGTAGTTCTCAACTAGAGGCTCCTGGATATGCCCACAAGCATTTGGCATTTGGGGTTGTCACAAGTGGAAAGGGAACCTCTACTGGTATCTAGCCAGTAGGGACACACATTCTATGGTGCACAGGGCAGTTCCCACAACAAAAATCCACCTAGTCCAAAACATCAACAATGTCAAGACTGAGGAATTACTCTAACATCTCTGTGGTTCTAAGTATTGCTAATCAACCTTTCCTTTTCCGAATTCTTGCCTCTTTTAGTTTCCTTGATATTCCTCCCTCATCCTTCTTGTCATCTTATCTGGCTACTCTTCCTCAGTCTTTTCTCCTGTTTTCCGATTTTGTTTTATTTTTGTCAGTTCCTTAAATAATACTTCCTTCTGTGTGTGTTTTGTCTTAATTTTTCTCTCAACAGTCTGAATGAATACTCCCATCCCTTTGGCTTCACTACTACCCAATACAGCTAATTCCTAAATAAAGATCTCTGTCTCTGACTTCTTTGATTCAGACTTGCATTACCAACTTCCTTCCAAATACTACCACTTTGGTGTCCCACAAACACTTGAAACTCAACATACCCAAAATAAATACATCATCTTCCTCCCAAAATATACTTTCTCTGCCCCTTCTCCTTTGAACAAAACCACTACTTACCATCCTATAAGCTAAAAACCTCCAATTTCCCTTTAGCTTTCCTTTTTCCTTATCTGCTGCATACAACTGCCTAGACGGTGTCTCCAACTGGACATCCCAATATTTAGCTTTTAGTTCATTTATTCATTTAACAAATATTTACTGAGCCCTACTTTGAGCCTGACACTTTTCTATATGCTCTGCCCAAAACCATAGACAATACTCATGGAGACTCCATTCCTAAGAGAATGGTGAGTGACATGATGGGGTCAGTTATTGGGTGCTACAAAAACTCATTTGAAAGCATTTATCTGAATGGAAGAGTGTGGGGAGTTGGGGAAGACTTCCTGGAGGAAATGGAGCCTGACCTGTGATGCTGTGTGCCTAATGACTATCCCTATAAAACCTTGTCATAATTTGTAACTTAAAAATTCAGTAGAAAATATGGAGCTAAAGATATATTCTAACTTGGGTAAACATGTTGGTAGACTTCAAATTGAAGCTTGCTCTTCTGGATGGGCTCAGCCTTACCCATGATAAATCCCAGAAGTCTCAATACAATAACTAATTCTTTTCATCATTTTTCATGTTTCATCTATGTTGGAGATATAGTATTTGGATCAAAACAATTTATATAATATTGTTATCCACAAGGGGCAATGAGTTCAGAGATAAATTAAAGAATAATTGTTTAGAGAACTGATAATTCAAAACAACAAGTGCAAGGCAATTAAAATACTAACAATAACTGTGATACAAACTCAGAATGAAACGATTGACACTCCTCTCACAAACATTCTATTAGTGAAAATATTTTATTAGCAGACTCAATTAAAATTATAGGCCACTATCTTTCAACCATGCCTGCACATTAGAATCATCTAGGAAGCTTTTGAAAAATGAAAGTCCTTGACTCACTCCTGAATTTAAACTCTGCATTTGATTGTCCTGGATTGGGTTTTGAACATCTGTGTGTTTTAAAAGTCCCTTAGGTGGTTCAATTGTATGTTCGAGGATGAGGATCTTTGCTAAGGCTATGACTGGACACCATCTGTTAATCATTAATTTTCTCAAATGTCATAGAAATGCTTCACAATAAAAAATGGTCATTGAATTTGGGTAGATTAGTCATTCTCATTACAAGATGGAATTTGAGGAAACTATTTGACATATCATTCCCTACGTATTCTTGACAAGTTCAATATAGGAGTTTTTCTTTTTTAGTATTTCAAACTTTCATTTGAGGTTTTTTATTTTTTTTTCCTCAAACATTCAAAAAATCTTAAAATTTTCAGCCTCATTCAAAATCTAAAAGAGAAGTCTTAAGAGAATATATGCTTGTTTCCCTGTGAAATGTTCCACTAGAGAATTGTGAGATTTTTCTTTATCCTCCTTCAAACAATAGTTTCTAATCCTTTGCTATTAGATACTCCATTAAAAATTCTTTTTATTCATTCTAGTGTCCTTTTCTAGTCCTTTCATTTTCTTCTGTTTCTGAGAAATACGTCCATACATTTATTCACTTACCATATTTTTTGAGACTTTACTACATGCCAAGTACTATTGATATGAAAGGCACTCAAGATTAAATGGACAGAAAAAAAATAGTTCTCCATCTAAGAGAACTTACAGTCTAATGAGACAACATAAATCAAATATTTCCAAAGAGTTACACAGTTGAACTGTAATGATTACTGAAAGAAGTCCATGGTGCTAGGAAGATACGCTATTGGGAAATCTGACCGAATCGGGAAGTTCAGTGGAACCATCTGAAAGATGTAACCATTGAATGAGACCTTAAGATAAATAGGACTTAATATAGTGGGAAAGATCAGTTTTATTGGATCAAAAAAAAAAAGTGGTAATTAAAGTTAACATAATTAGGGAGAATCCATGAGAGTTGTGCATGTTGCATCATCTGGGAAGAAGTTATAACAAAAATACTATGATTGGAGTTCCCAACCCTACTAATGGTCTACTTTGTCTTGTATTTTTTGTGACACTCAGCTACTTATCTATAGATGCAACTCTGCAGCGACTGGAATCGCATTCCTTCTACAATTTGAGTAAAATGACTCACATGTAAGTACAAGGAAAAGTTCGGCATAGCCTCAAGTCATAGCCATCGTAGATGGATAAGTTTGGGGTTCCAGGTAGCAATGGAGATCACGGGTCAAAATTTCTGTCTGTGATTAAATTCTTAATTTGTTCTCATTCTCAGTTTATGTTAATCTATCCTAACTGCTTTTAATTCACATGGTTGGAAGTCGGAGACAATATTAGAAGTTCTGTTCTTGAACTGCCACTCATTCTATTATTACAATGTCAGCAAATTTTATTGGTGTGAATGTCCATGAGTCAATAAATATTTACTGAGTACCTACTTGATTCCAAGATCATGCAAGAGTCTACAAAACTTGTTAATTAGGAAAGAGAAGAGTTGATTAGTGAGATATTAGAATAAAAGTTGGTTAAGGACTCTCGACACAACCAGTAAATCTCAATTACCAAGAAAGAAAGAAATCTAGCCCCCGAGCTGGTCAGAGTTGAGTTTGAACACTGGCTTCTCTGCCTACTCACTATCTACCTTAGACAAGTCATGTAACCTTTCCTAACCATACATTGTGAAGTACTGTTTTCTTGATGAAAAAACCCAAAAATTTCATACTTAAATACTTAGTATGTCCTACACATTATACTAAACATTTTATTTATATTCTTTTTATTCACTTTGTTTTGTTTTTAGTTTTTCAACAGGGCACTTGGCTCACTGGAAAGAAGCAGACAGTGGCAGGGGGCGGGGGATGAGAACCATGCGGGGGCAGGGGGCGGGGGATGATAACCATCCTGCCATACCTTCTCCTGTATTCTCTTGTCATTTTGGGCACACACACACACACACACACACACACACACACACGTGCCCTGTATGTTTTTCAAGCTGCCAGGTCCAGCAAGGGGAGTGTACAGTTGGTCAGGAGAGATCCAGCTGCCTTAACCTCCATGCCATCTTCTAGCCCTATATTATTTATTTAAACCTTATTCAACTCCCCAGAGAAAAAAAACCTACAGAGATGGTTTTTGTTTTGATTTTGGGCATGTACACACACCCCCTGCCAGCCCTTAGCCCCCCTGGCAAGTGGTATGGTGGTTAAGGTGCTGGACTTCCGCTGAACTCAAACCATGGCTGACCATGGTTTGAGTTCTGGAACTGGTTGACCTATAAATCCTGGCAGGATGTGAGTATACATGCCCAAAAATCCAGGAGGAGAATGGAGGAAAAGTAATTGCAGCATGGCAATCCCCACTGAGGAGTGATTTCTCACTCTCCCCATCTCTGTCTCTCTCTGGTGAGTGCATAGATCCTATGGCAAAAACATTTTTAAAAAATTATCTTACATACTACATTATGCTGCCTTTAAGAATACTGAGGCCAAGGGCCAACAGATTGCATAGTGGTTATGTTGCTCAATTTCCACATGGCCAACCACGGTTCTAGTCCCAGACCTGGAGGCTTGAAATTCATGCCGAGTGTGTGCATGCCCAAGATCCCAGGAGGAGAATGGAGGAGAAGAGATTGCAGCATGGCCAACTCCTCTAGGGAGGTAATTTTTCACTTTCTCTCTCACTGTCTCTGTCTCTTTCCTTTGGGTGGATATACCCTAAGGCAAAAATTTCTCAGGAAAAAAATTTTAATAAAAGAGTACTGAGGCTTGGTAAGCTGGTGGCATGTAGAGTTTTAAGCCACCAGGTCCAGGACTCAAACTGCAGTAGACTATGTAGAAGTCGAGTTACGTAACCATTATGCCATCTGCTGGTCCCCCAAACAAACAAAAAAAAACTGTTAACAGACACAAAAATGTAAAGTACTTTGTTGGAAATAATATATAGGTAGTATCTTTAATTAATTACCATGCACTGCAGGCAAGTCTTGAAAAACCATACTACATGCTATAAAGATGTTCAATGATTAAAGGTAAATCATAACTTATAAAATAAAAAAGAAATTTAGAAAAAAAAATCAAGCATTTCCTTTGACTAGTAAATAACCTGACTTCTAAATAATGAATTATTTTTTTAAAAATTTCTTTCTTTCTTTCTCTTTCTCTTTCTCTTTCTCTTTCTCTTTCTCCTTCCTTCCTTCCTTCCTTCCTCCTTTCCTCCCCTTCCCTTCCCTTCCCTTCCCTCCCCTCCCCTCCCCTCCCCTCCTCTCTTTTCTTTTCTTTTCTTTTCTTTTCTTTTCTTTTCTTTTCTTTTCTTTTCTTTTCTTTTCTCTTTCTTTCAATTTGACCAGAGAGGGACAGAGTCGGGTGGAGGAGAGAAAGCGAGCTACCAGATCCAGACTCGAACCGTGGTCAGTCATGTGGGAGTCCGGCGCTCTTAACCACCTGCCGGTCCCTAAATAGCAGATTCTTAAAAAACCATGGGTGGGTCAAGGAAGAAACCAGGGGAAATTAGAGAGAAAAAAAAAAAAAGGTAAGTTAATGACATGCTTAAAGGAAAACATATTCTTAAAAAGATATATACTAGGAAAGAAGGCCAGAAATAAATGATTTGTGTATGTAGAACAGTCAACTAATACCAAAGAAAGTAGGATAATACTAAGGTCCAGGAAAACTGATGATCCAGTATGGTAAGGCCAAGTTACCAAATTTAAAACCAAGTCTTCTAGACTGGGAGGTGGCAAAGTGGTTAAGGCACTGAACTCCCCAGGGTTGACTACAGTTCAAGTCCTGGACCTGGTGGCTTGCTTTCTCACTTTCCCTCTCTCTTTCTCTCACTGAGTGCATGTGCACTATAGCAAATTTAATAATAAATTAATTAAATTAAATAATTCTAAAAAACAATGAAATAAATCTCTTGGCTCCAAATACAATGTTCACTTATCAAATCATTTTGTTTCTTTGCTCTTCTCACCAAAAAATAAAAGCAACTAGTGTGAAAACTGCTGCTCTTAAAATGGACTGTTTTGGTTTATATGGCTCTTTTTCTTATAAAGACTCCAACTGTTACTTATCAGTTCTCTTATAAATATTAATATGTTTCTGCCTGAGCAAAAGTGTTAAATTTCTAGAGCAAAGGAAACTATGAAATGCAGTAATTTAAAGAGTATAAACTTAAAAATAGATTTTGAAATTATATTCGCTTTATATATTTGAAGCATCAAGAGTCTAAGATCTTGAAAAATAACCTAATATACCTTGCTTTCTTCAGATTTCCCTAATATATATCTGACATTAGTATCTGCAAATGGTTATCGCCAAAAGAAAAGTGAAAATTTTGAAGTACATGTCATCCACACGCTTAATGTCTTTATTTTGTAATCACTTATTAAGCGGTGACTATAAGCAATGCATTGAGCTACTTGCAGGAGAGAAACAGAGCTAAAAAATTATTGTCTTCCTCTAGAAATTAAGAATGGTTTTGTGGATCTGAGGCATGAAACCAAATACCACCAAAGGATGACTTGTTTAATCTGTAGACCACATAGCACCATCAACCACGCTTTTGTGGAATTCCTGAGTATGAAATTAAAGCCCTTGAGTTTATTTAGGAAAGGGAGCTCTTTACTATGTTAGATTAGCTGCAAGGGTAGATAGTAAGCAAAGAATACATATTTCAAATGTCAGTGCATATCGCCACCATTTATTGAAAAACTTCAATGAAGAAAACATCGGCAGTAAAAGAACATAATAAGGACCAGCAGATGGTGTAATGATTACTTTGCTGGACTCCCACAACGTCTATTGCATACCTATAATATTTGGATCTTAAATATCTGAAACCAAACTCTTGATTATTCACCAGCAATCTATAATACTACCGTTTCAGTGTTTGCTAAGCCAGTAAATGGCACTTCCATTCATTTTGTTGCTGGACTGTGGTTTGATTCCCAAACCCGGCAGGTTCAAATTCACTCCAGGCACATGTGTGTGCATGACCAAAATCCCAAGAGGAGATTTAATTACTCTGTCTTTACATTTAAAGTACATTTAGGGTCCAGCAGGTGGTGTGGTGGTTAAGGTGCTGACTCTCACATGGCCAAGTCCTAGATCCAGTGGCTTGAAAATCATGTCAGGTGTGTGTGCATGCATGCCCAGAATCCTAGGAAGAGAATGGAGGAGAAGGGATTGTGGTATAGACATCTCCCCTGGGGGACTATCACTCTCTCTGTCTCTCTCTGGTGAGTACACACACCCTATGGCGAAACCTTTTAAAAAAATGCATTTCATGTAAACTTTACATAATTTGGATGTTGCTTTCATATCCGCTAAAGGTACATATACACTTTAGTATTTCATTCATTACATTTACTATAATTATTAATAGAGTTGAATTTAAGTCTGCTGTTTCAATTTGTTTTCTATCTTCTGTTTTTTGTTCCTTAATTCCTCCTTTGTTTTCTTTTGGATTAATTAATTTTTTTTGGTTTTATTTTTTAATATTCTACTCAGTCTTCTCTATTGACTTTTTAGATTTTTTTTTTTTTTTGGAGAGATTTTCACTGTAGGGCGCGTGCGCTCGCCAGACAGACAGAGAGAGACATAGAGACAGAAAGCGAGAAATCACCCCCCAGGGGGGATGGTCACGCTGCAATCCCTTCTCCTCCATTCTCCTCTCGGGATCTTGGGCACGCACGCACACGCGCCTGGCGTGAGTTTTAAGCCACCGGGTCCGGGACACGAACCACGGTCGACTACGTGGGAGTCCAGCGACATAGCCATTACGCTAACTGCTGGTTCCCGACTTTTTAGATTTTTGAAGGTTTTTTTTGTGTGTGTGTGTGTGTGGTCATACAAGAGATTATAATACACATTCATCATTTATCAGCATCTCTTTAGAAATAATAATACTTCACTCTATACATCAAAAAATATCCTTGGAGGGAACCAGCAGTTAGTGTAATGGCTATGTCGCTGGACTCCCACGTAGTCGACCACGGTTCACGTTCGGACCCAGTGGCTTAAAACTCACGCCACGTGCATGTGCGTGCGTGCCCAAGATCCCGAGAAGAGAATGGAGGAGAAAGGATTGCGGCGTGACCATCCCTCCTGGAGGGTGATTTCTCGCTTTCTGTCTCTATGTCTCTCTCTGGCTGGCTGGCGAGCGCACGCACCCTATAGCGAAAAACATCTCTCCAAAATAAAATAAAATAAAATAAAATATCCTTGGAGCTTAAAATTACATTTACCCTTCCCATCTGCTATTGTGGGCATTTGTTTCATTTTTAAATACTGTATAAGCCTTATGGTTGCACTTAATTTTATAGCTTCAATAATTAAAATAAAATATTGCCTTTGGGGCCAGCAGGTGGCATGGTGGTTAAAGGAACTGGATCCCTACATGGTTGACCACGGTTTGAGTCCCAGACCTGGCAGCTTGCTTTCTGGCCTCCCCTTTCTCTCTCTCTGTCTCTGTCTCTCTCTGGTCAAATTTTAAAATACTACTAATAAAAAATGGAATTAAATAAATAAATAAGAAAGTGTTGCTCTTAGAAGAATGTTTTTACTTTCATTTTTTTTAAACCACCAAGTAAATAAAACTTCTGCAATTAAGCAGGTAAAATGTATGTTATATGGTAGATAATGGAATAAGACTTGATTTCACTTATTTGCTAAGTTGAATCAAGTGGTTTCATGGAGGTTTCAAGATCACTGATCATGAAATAATCGTGAAAGCAGCTGAATGTATCTTCCAGGCAATTGAGAGAACCACTTAAAATGTTCTGTTTCTAGTGGGGAAATCTACTGATAATTTTTCTTCGGTCTTCAAAAAGCTGAATATTTATCAACTCCCCTTGAATTAATACCTATTTTATTTATTTATTTAGAGGGTTTTTTCCCTATAGGGTGCATGTGTTCACCAGAAAGATATAGAGAGACAGAGAGTCAGAAAATGAGAAATCACCCCCCAGGGGGGATGGCCACGCCACAATCCCTTCTCCTTCATTCTCCTCTCGGGATCTTGAGCACACACGCACACGCACCCAGCATGAGTTTAAGCCACTGGGTCCAGGACTCGATCTGCGTTCAACTACATGGGAGTCCAGAGACATAGCCATTATGCTAACTGCTGGTCCCAATACCTATTTTTAAATATGCTATTTTGAAATCTCTCAATAAGTTAAATGATGCATCAAATCATGGAAATCACTTTTCAATTTTAGATTATTCATTCCCCCAGTTACATCATGGAATGGTAGGACTGATAAATGTCAAAGCACAATAATTAAGACCTCTCACATTAAAAATCTTTTTTTTTTTTTTGAGAGTTTTTTTGCTATAGGGCGCATGTGCTCACCAGAAAGACAGAGAGAGACAGAGAGCAAGAAATCACCCCCCAGGGGAGATGGCCGCGCCGCAATCCCTTCTCCTCCATTCTCCTCTCAGGATATTGGGCACACTCGCACATGCACCCAGCATGAGTTTAAGCCACCAGGTCCGGAACTTGAACCACGGTCGACTGCATGGGAGTCCAGCCACTACGCTAACTGCTGGACCCTCACATTGAAAATCTTGATAATGTAGGAAATAATGTATTCTGTGAACGTATAAACTATTATGAAAAATAAAATAAACTTTTAAAAGTTAAGAATTCTCAGTATGCACTAAACTTGAACTTAATACTTGATGTTAAAACACATTGGTGATTATGTGATAGAACTCTATTGTAAAATACTACCTTAAAATTAATTGACCAAGTCAAGCAGGTGGCATGGTGGTTAAGAGAGCTGTGTCCCACATGAGTGTATGGGTCAAGTCCTTGGCCTGGTGGCTTGAAAATCATGCCAGGCGCATGTGCGCGCGTGTGTGTGCCCAAAATCCCAAGGAGAATGGAGGAGAAAGGACTGCAGCATGGCCATCCTCATCCCTGGCAGGGCATGATTTCTCACTTTCCCTCTCTCTCTTCTTCTTTCTCTTCTTCTGGCAAATACAAACACTCTCTGGTGATTTTTTTTTTCTTTTTAAATAGTAGAAAAGTGGACCAACCAGCAGCATTGTGGATCCTACATGAACAACTGCACAGTTCAAATCCCAGACCTGGTAACAAGAGACAGGGTTGGTACATGTATGAGCATGCCCATAATTTTTTTGTGGCTTGATCATCCCACAGATGAGATGCTTTCTCTCTCTCTCTCTAGCAAAGCACACACCCTGTGGCAAATTTTTAAATGATATTAATGGATAAGTGTGTAAAGTAACAAAATTATGGCTGCAATACATGCAAATCTTGGGTTTTTTGTTTGTTTAATAATTAATGAAGTTGAAGCATGAGATTGAGTAACCAGGCCCGGAGGATGACGAGTATGTTCTTGGGTTGCTGAGATACAGTGGTTTCTTTTATATTTTGTTTTTAAAGTAGATGAATAATTAGTAACTATCAATATTTTATTATACTTTCCAGAGCATGTGGTAAAGGTGCACATAATATCAGCAGATATCCAATAACCATTTATTTAGTTTTAATAAGTCTCTCTACTCACTAGAGCAAGGAGACCCAGTTGAAGTCAAAATGTCCCCTGCCTCTGATTTTTATAAACTACAGACACTTAAAAGCAGATGAGAAAAAACTGAAAATCAAATTGAACCAAAAGTTGAAAAGAAGCTGAGGATTGGCTAACAGCCAGGTTTTGGCTAATATTGTTGTTCAGTTTCTAGTTTTAAACAACACACCCTTACACATTCTTGCATTTGTGTTTCTTAGAAGACCAGTTATGCTTGCTGGGGCAGCTTTTGCCCTCTGCCCGTATCTCATTCTGACTCAAGTCTCCTTGCAGTGTGCTGATGTGAAGCATTCTTACTACACCAGTCCCTTGGCCCCATCTGATTGCAGCTGAAATGCCAAGTCCGCTTCATTATTCCCCTCAAATTGCCCAGCTTGGCATGCTTTTCACTCATAAGCTTGGAAGGCTTAGGGTGCGGGCAAGTATCACTAAGGTTGAGGAACACAGTGAAATGTCACGAACTTATCTATGCCTGTTGAATAGTTAAGGCCAGACAGGGAAGGCAGTAGGATAATAGAAGGAAATCAGTAGTTAGAAAGCTCCTCAGTAGTAGGATTTAGTTCTTCATTTCTCCTTCTTTTGTTCTGCTTTCCCTTGCCTGAGAACTTTCTTCCCCCTGCCACCTGCCACCCCTATTTATTATTTTTTTAAAAATTGCTATAGGGCATGTGCACTCATTAGAGAGAGAGAGAGAGAGAGAGAGAGAGAGAGAGAAAGTGAGAAAACAAGCTGCCAAGTTCAGAACTCAAACTGGATTCAGCCATGTTGGTGTCCAGCACCCTAAGTGCCATGTCACCTGCTGGCCACCAATATGTCTAATTTTACCAGTGAGCGCCCATTTCTTTTCTTTTTATTTTAGGATTATTTATTTTAATTAATTAGTTATTATTAGTTTTTAATTTGACCAGAGAGAGAAAGAAAAAAAGAGAGAGAAAGAGAAAGTAAGAAAGTAAGCCATTAGGTTTGGGACTTGAACTGCAGTTGGCCATGTGGGAGTCCAGTGCCTCAAGCACCATGCCATCTGCTGGCCCCAAGAGCCCATTTCTAACAGTCATTAATTACACTAATGTAACTGTGTATTTTTTTAAAAATAATTTCTTTAATTTTATTTCATTTAATTTTTATAGAGCATATGAACTTACCAGAGAGAGAGAGAAAATGAGAAAGCAGATGGCCAGGTCTCGGACTCAAACTGCAGCCGGTCATGTGGAAGTCCAGTGCCTCAACCACCATGCCACCTGCTGGCCCCTGTGTATTCTTGATCAGCATGTATATAAACATAAGTTACACACATACGGGTGCCACACCATATATGCTGAAGAGTTATAAGTTACAGACATTGCAAAATAAACCCAAATGAGCTGTGAAGAGTCACCACACCTAAGAAAGCAACTGGCAGACCCTCACTGCCCTTCTTGCTAGGCTGTCACCCATCACACAATCCACTCCACCTCCCACTCTGGTGCTCATTGTCTCCTTGGTCAGGGTACGTGTTATTGTTAGTGATGAAGAATTTGTCTTCAACTCTTCACCAAACTGTTGGAAAGTTTTTTCTTTTTCTATCTAAATTTAAAAGGATAAAACCCTGAAACTACTATTAAGAGAAAAGTAGCTCAGAAGTTCAAGTGGAGTGAGACCAAGTCAGTGATGCAAGAGGGCTGAACAGCCATTGCCCACCGTGAGGAGCCAGGAGTGGTGTGTTGTCAGCAGGACCCACTCCTGGAAGCAACAATCACTTGACATTATAAAACTGCAAAAATGCATTATCTGAACACCTGTTAAACCTGATTTGTGTTATTTTGTTTTTGATATGAACAGAAGTGGATGTATAATGGTGACAGGGTACCTTCTAACTTTTACAGAGAAATTCGGAATACCAGAAGTTTAACTTACATAGACACCAATGCCCTAGAAGAGCTCCCCCTCCTAAAGTTCCTGTAAGTATTAACTCCCTTCCCATAGAACTTTAATGCTTTTGTCTGCCAGAAATCTCCTTAAGATGATGTGGTTTAGAGACTTTTTAATAGCATATAGCCTATATCAAATTATATCTTGTGACTTACTGCCCATCTCCTCCCATTAGACAAGGTATCAGGTTAAATCAGGTTAAATAGGTCTCTTTTTTTGGGGGGGGAGGGGAGAGATTTTCACGGTAGGGCGTGTGCGCTCGCCAGACAGACAGAGAGAGACATAGAGACAGAAAGCGAGAAATCATCCCCCAGGGGGGATGGTCATGCCGCAATCCCTTCTCCTCCATTCTCCTCTCAGGATCTTGGGCACGCACGCACACTCGCCCGGCGTGAGTTTTAAGCCACCGGGTCCGGGACACAAACCATGGTCGACTATGTGGGAGTCCAGAGACATAGCCATTACGCTAACTGCTGGTTCCCAAATAGTTCTTTTTTTGAGAGATTTTTTTTTTCTATAGAGTGCATGCACTTACTGGAGAAATAGAGAAACAGAAAGCAAGAAATTACCCTCCAGTTGGCATGGCCACACAACAATCCCTTCTCCTCCGTTCTCTTGGGATCTTGGGCATGCACACACATGCACCCAGTGTGAGTTTTAAGCTGCCAAGTCAAGGACTCAAACCATGGTCAACTATGTGGGAATCCAGCAATGTAACCGTTACACTCTCTGCTGGTCCTGATGTTTTTAAAACCTATTGGAAAGTCAACACACAGTGCTGGAACCAGAGATCTGGTCAAAGAGGCATGAGAGAGAATGCCATTATGTAATATCAGTGTAATATCACAGAACAAAACAAAACAAAATCCTGAAAGTCAATTGATCAATTTTGGTTGGAGACAGATATCATAACAATATCAGAGTGGCTATCACATGGCAAAGGTGGGGGAAGCCACAAAGGGTAAAATCCTATCTCTTGGGGTTGAAGGGATAAAAAATAGAAGAGACAACAATTTACTATCTTGCTTTGGCAACGTCTTATGAGCTAACTGCAAACTTCATGGACAGAGACCATAACGTTTTTGTTTACTGTTGCATCTTTACTGGCTACCGTAGAGTAGATGCTCAATAAAAATATATCCAGTGCATGATATGTGGCCTCAGGCCCTCTAGATACCAGCTATAAAAATCCTCTTTCCTGCTTATATGCATTATAAAAATTTAAAAACAGTAATAATATGAAGTTAAATTGCACCATAATTCCAATATCCAAGCAAGGGGGAGACTTGGGGTGGAGGATCCATGGTGGGACCATTTCAAGAAGCAGCATTTGCCTTGCCCGTCAGTGGGATGGATAAACCTGTGTTTGCAGACCCAGTAGTTAAGACAAAGTTTGGATACCGTATTATCATGATTGAAGGGAGAAAATAAGACTATATGAAAGACTGAAGAAAAAGAAAAAGAAGTACAAGTGGACAGAATAGTATGATAAAGACACAGAGGTATGGAATCACATGGCTTATTCAGGGAACTGAAAATAGTTTCCTATTGAAGAGGTGGGAGATGCCAGGAAAACAGAAGAGGATACGCATGAGATATTGAGTCATTGGAAAACTCATGATGCACTTTTGCATAGAGAAACATAGAAAAATAGGTCATGACTTTTCCAGCCATCTAATATGTAGGGATAAATGAAAACTCCTCTTTAGAACTTAGTGTTTCTTTTTTTACCAAATCAATTAATAACTTTTTTACCAAATTAATTAATAACTCTTTGATATGATGATCCCCTACAATGTGCAAAAGCTTTTGGGAGAACTTACATGATTCTAAGATATTGATCATACCTTCAAGAAGCTTAAAAATCTAGTTGGAGGGACCAGCAGTTGGTGTAATGGCTATGTCGCTGAATTCCCATGTAATCGACTGCAGTTCGAGTCCCGGACCCAGTGGCTTAAACTCACACTGGGTGTATATGTGCGTGTGCCCAAGACCCTGAGAGAAAAATGGAGGAGAAGGGATTGCGGTGTGGCCATCCCCCCTGGGAGGTGATTTCTCACTTTCTGTCTCTCTCTCTGTTTTTCTGGTGAGCACACGCACCCTATAGCAAAAACCTCAAAAAAAAAAAAAAGAAGAAGCTTAAAATCTAGTTGGAGAGATATTGTGCATGAAATAGAAAAGTGCCTTCTCCTACAGGAGAGTAATGGAAAGTGACAAATAAGAGGTACATGCTGTATCTGAGGGTTCAGGACAATAAAGGAGACATCAAAAAGGAGAATAACTTGTTTACAACATTTTCTAAAGCGGAAGCTCTAATAGTAGTATAAAAGATAAATTCCCCAAGGTGGTGGAAAATTCATCTCTCATTGTATTAGCCACAAAGTAGAGTTAGGGCTCCTTTTGAAGGATCACTTCTCTTTTTTGCTTTTCTTTTTTTCCAGAAGGCATATACGCCTGCTAGAGAGAGACAGAGGCAGTGAGAAAGCACCCCCCCCCTCACACACACACCCTTATGGGGGACGGCCATGGCACAATCTCTCTCCACGTCTTCCTTTCAGGATTTTGATCATACACAAGTGGCAGGCATGTCTCTCAAGCCACTGGGTTCAGGACTCAGACCACACAGTAAGCCAAGTGAGATCTAGCTACCTTAAACACCACACCACCGGCTAGTCCAGAATCCATTCTGCTTTTGGCAACACTCTCCAAGTTCAGGCCTCATGGGGGTTTTGCCTGGAGTATCAGCCCAGCTCCCTTTCTCTGGTCACACTGCAGTCAGGGGTTGTTTGTCATATATAAACCAACTCCCCAGCAAAATCGCTCCAAGCTGCCACACAATTCTAAGGGGCTGCTTGGAAGAGTAGAGAGGTCCTGGCCCAAGTCCCTGTAATCTGGCATCTCTGGTTCTTCATTCTATGGCCCCCACTTGACTCCTGGGCTTCCCACCACTCCACGAGATCCCTACTTCAGTTGAACTCATGTTTGTTTACTGTCTTTTAAATGTACCAGATGGAAGGAATCTCAGCCCCCTCCTTTGGTATTTGTCCTATTTGCTCATTTTGAGACCCCTGGGTCGTGCTGCTTCTTCAAATTCTATGCTTTCCTTCTGGAAGGAGACAAACCTGAATTTGCCTTGAAAGGTTCATCAATGAAATAGAGTTGTTTACACCAGAAGATTTTCTCTAAAGCTTTACTAGGTAGTATCCAAGATTTGCCCTGTGCCGTGCCAAAAAAGTTCTGCTTCCACTGTCTACATTCTAGCAGTTGTGACAAATGTTAAACCAACTAAACCTGGTAAACATTAGGAGCTGGGAAGTTGTGTTTGCAGTTATCTGCATGCCTTTTAACAATGATATTGACATTTTTCCCTGCATAACAGAAATGTTTGGAAGAGAAAAGCATAATTTTTGTCTGATTTCTTTTCTTTTAAAATATTTAAGATATATTTAAAGCAACTTTTTTTAGAGATTTATGCTATAAGATGCATGTGCTCACCAGAGACACAAAGGCAGAGAGAGAAAGTGAGAAATCACCCCCTGAGGCAATAGCCACACCACAGTCTGTTCTCTTCCATTCTCCTCTCAGGATTTTGGGCATACATGCACATGCCCCCAGCATGAGTTTCACGCTACCAGGTCTGGGACTCGAAACTCAGTCAGCCATGTGGGAGTCCAGTACCTTAACCACTATACCACCTGCTGACCCCAAAACAATTTTTAAATGATGCTGCTATGATAGTACTCACCAGTCACTGCTGTAGAAAAGCTATTGTTGGCAAAATAGTAAGATAATTTAACAGAGTTTGAAAGAGGAATCAAGCTTGAAGATAGCTAGATCTTCTATCTAAAAAATATAATCTCCCATCCCATCCTTCCTTTGTTTGCCCCATTAATACACACATACATTACCTTCCAATTAAAACAAGGAAATAATGGAACCAGCCATTGGCATAATGGCTTTGTCGCTGGACTCCCATGTAGTTGATCACGGTTTGAGTCCTGGACCCAGTGGCTTAGACTCACACTGGGCATGTGTGCATGTGTGCCCAAGATCCCAAGAGGAGAAAGGAAGAGAAGGGATTGCGGCATGGCTATCCCCCCTGGGGGGTGATTTCTCGCTTTCTGTCTGTTTCTTTCTGTCTTTCTGGCGATCACATGTGCCTTATAGCAAAAAACCTCTCAAAAAAAACAAAACAAACAAACAAAAAAAAAACAAGGAAATAACACACACACACAAAATCTGAATACCTACTTACAGGAAATTCATTTGGCTCAGTTAATCTTCAGAGTAGTCTAAGCAGACAAGATACATTGATGCTGACAGACTAAATTAAATTATTGTGCTTTGAGAAAACACTTAATATGAATGACTACAGGGCTAGAACTTGCCTGTAGTCATTCATATTAAGTGGAGGAGTTAGGATTTGACTCCAGACCAGGTTCAGATCCCATACTCTCAGCTATTACATTATTCTTCTTCCTATGTGTTGACTTTTTAACCTAAATCCTGTCATTTTTTTCCTTCTTTTTTCATGTAATTTAGTGGCATTTTCAACACTGGACTTAGAGTATTCCCTGACCTGACCAAAGTTTATTCCACTGACGTATTCTTTATACTGTAAGTATGCACACATGCAGTGTTTGACAATATTTTCACTGACAAGAACTAGGGGATAGCCATAGGGGTTGGTTGAAGCCAAATAAAGCAATTGCTTCAAGGAGAAGGCAATGGTCAGTTGTGAATTCTCTGATGAATGAAGCATGACAAGGGAAGTGGCCACCGGGTTTGGTAACTTGGGTGCTGGTGATTCTGACCAAAGCAGTCCCTGTGGAGTGCCGGGAGTGATGAAGTTTGGCTGGAGTGGGTTTAAGAGAGAAGACTTTAAGAGAGTGAGCCTAACAAACTCCTAGCTGGCAGACACTAGGAAGGAAGAGATTTTTGTTGTTATTTTTAAGTGGGAGAAATTGTGGAATGTTTGTCTGCTCAAGAGAATGATTACATGGAAGAAAAAATCTGACAGTAACTATAATGCTTTATTTTTCATACACTTTTTAGTAGTTTTTTGAACACTTTTCCATGCATTGCTTTTGTTCCACTCCATCACCTTAAAGGTATAAAAGTAAGTTATTATTTTTTCCATTTCACAAATAAGGAAACTCAGGAATAGAAAACAAGAGATTTTGTTAAGCAGAATTCCAGGAGCAGTCAGGAATGGAGTTCAGACTCCATCCTGTGACTTGGCTTGGTGGCCATATACCCTTTTCAAAAAGCTGTGACACAAGTCCATTGTTTTCCTAACCATACAGGAGTGAAAGGATATTTGCAGAGAGCATGACAAGTTGATTTGCACTACAGAGTAAATATTGAGTGACGGGCTATAAATTCTTGGTGGTTTTGCTAGAAAAAAATAATATCCATATTTCTATGCTGCAGAAGCACTAAGTTCAAAATACGGTCTCCAGGAACTAGACTGACATAGAAAGATTCCCCAGGAGCATCTGCCTAGCAAGAGTTTTGTGGATGGAGGGCATTTCAGTAACACTCATGAAACACAATCCATTGATCCCTTTCTCCCGATCCTTCATAAGGAGTCCATGCACGTGGAAAACTATGGTTGCTCCGGACGAAGTAGCACAGATTCCGCTCTGAGTACACATCCATCTAGGACAACTCTCAGCCCTCACTGAATCTCTGAGCCACCAGTCACTAAGGAGGGTCAATGAGGGACCAGCAGTTGGCGTAATAGCTATGTTGCTGGACTCCCATGTAGTTGACCATGGTTCGAGTCCCAGACCCAGTGGCTTAAACTCATGCTGGGCGCATGTGCGTGTGTGCCCAAGATCCCGAGAGGAGAATGGAAGAGAAGGAATTGTGGCATGGCCATCCCGCCCCGCCCCCCTCCACCCCGGGGGATGATTTCCCGCTTTCTGTCTGTCTTTCTGGCGATGCACGCACCCTATGGCAAAATAAATAAAAATATAAATAAACCTCTCAAAAAAAAAAAGGGGGCCAGTGAAATGTAAAACAAAGTAAGATTCAGCAGTATTGTGTCAGGTGATTTATTTGAATGTATTTGTGCAGTAAAAGCCCGGCTTCAAGAGAAAAGCATTTTTTCAAGCGTATTTGTCCCTCTCTTTTACAGTGAAATTACAGACAACCCTTATATGACTTCCATCCCTGTGAATGCTTTTCAAGGACTGTGTAATGAAACTTTGACACTGTGAGTATTGCTGTTTCCATTCCTGCCGGCACGTGGAGTTGGTTTTAAGTTTCTGTCATATTTTTGTCTACAAAGTCTACAAAGGCTTTCACATAATTTAAGGTATCATCCTATGACATGGTACTCTTTAGACTACAAAAGGGCTTAGGAAACAAGATAAGAATATTCCCTATGGCAGTTGTTGTTACATTTTTTTATTTAAATGACCAGTTGAGTTTTACCGGTCAAGTGACCTCTGTAGCTGCTGCTCAAGACTGCCATTGTAAGGCAAAAGCAGTCATATACAATAGGTGAAGTTATGAGCACATCTGTTTTCCAATAAACTTTATTTATCTAAATAGTCAATGACCAGATTTGGCCTTGCAGGCCATATAGTTTGCATACAAACAACAACAAAACCATGAGATACTTTTGTAAGTTCCCCACAACTAGATAGACTAAATATAAGTGTTCAAATCATTTTAACATGGTCATCTTTTAAGTTTCTCTTAATATGTTAAGTATACAGTTATTTGATCCTCCCAGCCATCTTTTAATTAGGTATGATTATCATATTTTGAAGATAAGGGAATTGAGGTTAAGAAATGTTGAGAAATTCTTAGGCTCACCCAGCTATAAAGTTGCAGAGCCAGGTCTAATTCCAAATTTGGAGTCACCTGCATGCTTCTTCACGGGTTACCACAGGTCACATGTGGTATATTTCTGAAGTTTCCTACAATTATCACTAGGAGTTCTTAATAGCTTGCCTGACTGTGGTCATGATTGTCTTCTCTTATCTTCATGCCTATAACTCCCATTAACTCCCCTGTCTCCTATGTAGCCCAGAGTTCCCAAGGCTGGAGCTTCTCCTCCAGAAAGGGTGTATGCTGTTGGTGGGTTGGAAGAAAGTATTTGAGGTCAGAATCCTGATTCCCAACAGGTTGAGCCCAGTGTATTTTGTTTTTGGCAACTCACCTCCATGTCTCAATAACTCCACTGGAAATGAGAGGTCATAACATGTCAGACTGGCCCCCTGGGATCATTGCATGGACTGATTAGTTAATAGAAACATCAGTGAGTTAAAGCATTAAAATATCCTCAAAAGGGTAAGGTCTATGGACTTCTTAGATTCATCTAAAATGTTCCATTTAATTCAGCCCCACAACCAGTAAACATTTACTCTATGCTAATCCCTGAGAATAAAAGGATGGATAAAATACAAATGTGAAATTACATTTTAAACAGAAAAATAGAAAACCTGTGCATTCAGATGAATGCCTTTCAAAGGGTTCGTCTTAAGAACTGTAGGCCCGGACTCTGCAGTGTGGTCAGCAGCATACTGGACTACAAAGCTGGAAGCCACATGCTGACCAAGGTCCTAGTCTCTGGCCCAGTCAGCCTAAAAATACACCAAACATGTGTACATGTGCTCAGGGTCCTGCTAGAATGGAGAAAGGGGACTGCAGCATGACCAAGCCCTATGCAGGATTTTCTCTCTCTTTCTCTCTCTCTCTCTCTCTCTCTCTCTCTCTCTCTCTCTCTCTCTCTTTTCTGTCTCACGAATACCTATGTACTTTATCAAGAATTTAAAAACATAAAATCTTTTTTTTAAGAGGTTTTTACTATAGAGCATGTGCCCTCACCAGGAAGACAGAGAGAGACAGAGAGATAGAAAGTGAGAAATCTCCCAGGGGGGATAGTCACGATGCAATCTCTTCTCCATTCTCCTTTTGGGATCTTGGGCATGCCCATACACGCACCCGGCGTGAGTTTAAGCCACCGGGTCCGGGACTTGAACCTCAGTCAACTACATGGGAGTTCGGCAATATAGCCATTACACCAACTGCTGGTCCTAAAAACAGAAAATCTTTAAGAAACTGGCAATTACTTCTCCACTATTAATATTGGGTTAACTATTACCTGAAACACTCTTTTTTGAGTATAAGTGAATTTTTTTTTTTTTTTAATTCCTAATGGTAGCAAATCTTTGTCCCTCAAAATAAACCTGCTTCTGAAAAACAGCTTTAAGTTACTAAAACCAAAGACTGGAGATTAGCCATTCAAACCAGGAAATATGGGCCAGCAGGTGGTGTAGTAATTAAGGGCACTGGACTCCCATGTAGCTGACTGTGGTTCAAGTCCTGGACCTGGTGGCTTGCTTTCTCACTTTCCCTCTCTCTTTCTCTCTTTTAATAATAAAAAAAAAAAAACTGGAAAATATTAGCCTATGTGTCAAATAAGGCACACTATACAGTTTCCTTCTGGGGTGTGTATGTGGAGCTTGCTGGAGCTTTGTGCATGCTTCTGATGAAGCCTAACACTTTAGAAAAGGTCAGCACCACCTGTAGCAGGTCACTGATCTCTCCTCTCTATCAACTACAGGAAACTGTACAACAATGGCTTTACTTCAATCCAAGGACATGCTTTCAATGGGACAAAGCTGGATGCTGTGTAAGTCAAGGGTAGCTGTGAAAACTGTAACTTCCCCCTACCCCAAAAAGGACCACCAGCAGAATCCCACTGAAAAAAAAAAAATAGGTCCTACCACTATATCCCTCAACCCCAGTCTGTGTGATCAGTACTTAGAAATGATGTTAAGGAGTTTGACAAGGGCCAACTTTAATATCAATGCTAAATACCAAAGCTTTTAGCTTTTATTCTCAGTGTGCTTTCTCTCTCTCTCTCTCTCTCTCTCTCTCTCTCTCTCTCTCTCTCTTTTCTGTCTCACGAATACCTATGTACTTTATCAAGAATTTAAAAACATAAAATCTTTTTTTTAAGAGGTTTTTACTATAGAGCATGTGCCCTCACCAGGAAGACAGAGAGAGACAGAGAGATAGAAAGTGAGAAATCTCCCAGGGGGGATAGTCACGATGCAATCTCTTCTCCATTCTCCTTTTGGGATCTTGGGCATGCCCACACACGCAACCGGCGTGAGTTTAAGCCACCGGGTCCGGGACTTGAACCTCAGTCAACTACATGGGAGTTCGGCAATATAGCCATTACACCAACTGCTGGTCCTAAAAACAGAAAATCTTTAAGAAACTGGCAATTACTTCTCCACTATTAATATTGGGTTAACTATTACCTGAAACACTCTTTTTTGAGTATAAGTGAATTTTTTTTTTTTTTTAATTCCTAATGGTAGCAAATCTTTGTCCCTCAAAATAAACCTGCTTCTGAAAAACAGCTTTAAGTTACTAAAACCAAAGACTGGAGATTAGCCATTCAAACCAGGAAATATGGGCCAGCAGGTGGTGTAGTAATTAAGGGCACTGGACTCCCATGTAGCTGACTGTGGTTCAAGTCCTGGACCTGGTGGCTTGCTTTCTCACTTTCCCTCTCTCTTTCTCTCTTTTAATAATAAAAAAAAAAAAACTGGAAAATATTAGCCTATGTGTCAAATAAGGCACACTATACAGTTTCCTTCTGGGGTGTGTATGTGGAGCTTGCTGGAGCTTTGTGCATGCTTCTGATGAAGCCTAACACTTTAGAAAAGGTCAGCACCACCTGTAGCAGGTCACTGATCTCTCCTCTCTATCAACTACAGGAAACTGTACAACAATGGCTTTACTTCAATCCAAGGACATGCTTTCAATGGGACAAAGCTGGATGCTGTGTAAGTCAAGGGTAGCTGTGAAAACTGTAACTTCCCCCTACCCCAAAAAGGACCACCAGCAGAATCCCACTGAAAAAAAAAAAATAGGTCCTACCACTATATCCCTCAACCCCAGTCTGTGTGATCAGTACTTAGAAATGATGTTAAGGAGTTTGACAAGGGCCAACTTTAATATCAATGCTAAATACCAAAGCTTTTAGCTTTTATTCTCAGTGTGTGCATGTGCATGCATGTGTGTGTGTGTGTGTGTGTGTGTGTGTGTCCACCCACACACCGGAGTAATGTTCAATCTACTATGTACATGAAGCAAAAGTGATATTTTAATTAAGCCCAAAGCTATTCAGAAAATAAGGTTTCTTTTTTATCCCTTTATGATATGTTTTGACAAAGATGTCAGCTTATATTTGATTCACTCAAAAACAGCTAAAAAACCATGTCTAGTATTTGTCATTTCAAAAATAATGACTAGAACAGCTGATGTAGCCAACAGACTGTCTTTGTTTTTGTAATGCTTCTTGACTATTTAACAATTACTTTTTTTTATTCCAGATGTTCTAGTTTTTTCCCCAAAATTTACCTGTTTGTTTTTGACAGTTACTTACTCATTCTTGTTACTTATAATGCCATCATTTTTTCCTTGAAAAAAAATTCACATCTATTTGTTTTATATTCCAGAAGTGATCATTGCAAAACGTAAAGACCTTATGATTCTAAAACTGTTGTATAGTACAGGGTTTCTCAAGATTTATTGGGCATACAAGCCACCTGGGGAATCTAAGCAAAATGCATTTTCTGAATCAGCAGCTCCTCCACTGCACAGTTCTGTATTTCTAACACATTCCCAATGGTACTGATACTGATGGTCCATGGACCACACTTTTAGTAGCAAGAATGAGGTAAATAAGCTGCACAACCCAGTCGGGGGGAGAGGAACATGTATATTGAGTAGTTTTGGCTGATTTTCTGGCTTAGGGATTAAGTGGTAGATTCTGGAATAATTCCATTGTTAAAGGTTGTATAGTAATACTTTTTTTTTTTTCTTGAGAGGTTTTCGCTATAGGGCGCGTGCGCTCGCCAGACAGACAGAGAGAGACATAGCGACTGAAAGCAAGAAATTGCCCCCCAGGGGGGATGGTCACGCCGCAATCCCTTCTCCTCCATTCTCCTCTCGGGATCTTGGGCACACACGCACACGCACACGGTGTGAGTTCTAAGCCACCGGGTCCGGGACGCAAACTGCAGTCAACTATGTGGGAATCCAGCGACATAGCCATTACGCTAACTGCTGGTTCCCTATGGTAATACATTTTTGAAGTCATGTACTTAGGCAAAGCTCTTTAAATTCCAAGTGGAGTCTCATTCTTTGCCAGTATTTGTCAAATGAGGGTGTAGGGTACCATTCTCTTAATTGTCTGGTTGTGGGATCATTAGTGTCGATTTCCATAATTTTTTTAAGAATTTATTTTTTATTTTATTTGTTGTTATTATTATCATTTTTCATTTGATCAGAGAGAGAAAGAGAAAGGGAAAAATGTGAAAGCATCCTACCAGATCCAGGATTCAAACCATGGTCAGCCATATGGGAATCCAGCACCACTCCTACACCACCTGCCAGGCCCCAATTTTCATAATTGTTTTAAGGTACATAATTATAGGGAAAGTCTGAAAGACTTGATAGAGAAACATGAATTCTTGCATTTCTGATTTATTTATAGAATTGGAGAGACTCTTGTATTTTATCATACTAGACTTACACATTTCTTCACCTATTTATTTATTTATTTATTTATTGGAGAGATTTTCGCTATAGGGCGCATGTGCTCGCCAGACAGAGAGAGACATAGAGACAGAAAGTGAGAAATCACCCCCCAGGGGGGATGGTCACGCCGCAATTCCTTCTCCTCCATTCTCCCCGGCCTGAGTTTTAAGCCACCGGGTCCGGGACGCGAACCATGGTCGACTACATGGGAGTCCAGCGACATAGCCATTACGCTAACTGCTGGTTCCCTTTATTTATGTTTTTGACATAGGCCACATGTGCTTACCAGAGAGAAACAGAGAAAATGAAGGTGAGAAGTCACCCCCCCCAAGGATGGTCACACTGCCATCCCTCCTCCGCTTGGGCTTTTGGGCAAGCACACACATGTACCCAGCATGATGTTCAAGCTGCCAGGTCCAGAACATGAACTGTGGTTGGCCATGTGGTAATCTAGTGCCTTGACTACCACACCCTGCACTGGCTCTTCAACTACTTTTCAGTATATTCTTAAACACACACAATATGCCAAGCACTATTCATCCTTTTGCAATACAAAAATGAGTAAGGGCCAAATCCTTCCTGACCATACTGAAAATACATTATGGTGGGGTCAACTCAAGACCAGCAATATCAAGGGTCAAAGCACATTAGGAAGAAATACACTCAATCCAAAACATGGAACTCAGCTTTAAAAACCCAAAAGCTAAATATCCAATAACATTGGCCTCCTTGTTTGAAGATGTAAGATTTTCTCTAGCATTATCCAATTTTTTTCATTATTAGCATTTGATTTTAACATTGCATAAATCTCACCAAATATTTTCCTCTTTGATTGAACTATTTCTAAAACACCATGACCTATAAAGAAAGGATCTTCCCAATTCAGATTTTCTATTAATGAAATGGGATATTGAGACTTCTTAAAATAATTAAGATAGTTTGTAGATACTTAAGGTACAAAGCATTCAGAAGACTGTCACACTGTTCTAAACTTTGGGGCACCAAGAGACTAGTGTTGCAGCAACAGATAACCACTTTAGCAAGGGTAGGAGCAGGGATGGTGAAGAAAAACCTTCAGCCAGGGCCCAGCCCTGATTATATGGCTCCTGGCTTCATGAATCCAGGTGACTCGGGCCTGCACCAAACTGCCAATACGGAACACTAGATTAGAAAAAGAACTCAAGACCTTGGATATAGGATAACTCATTTCCAAAATTTTCATTTTGCCACGAAGGATTTTAAAGCCCAAGATAAATAGTTTTCAAATTTCTTGTCTTTTTATCCTGTCACAATTAGTCACTGAAGGGTATGGTCTTCAAACACTCCATTATCATGTTTTAAGGACAGAGGTTTGGGATTGAAAATTCAGACTTTAAGGTTTACAGAGCAATGATTCTTGATATTAGCTACAAATTGGGATCACCTGTGAGGTTTTCAGGCGCCGATGCCTGAGTTTTGCCACCAGACCTTCTGGATATAGCTTGGGCATTGCAGAAATCTAAACATCTCTCCAAGTGAGTCCACTATGGAACAGAAGTCCAGAACCACTTCTGTAGAAGGTTATCAACTTTCTTGTCCAGCTGTCCCATTTTATACATGAAGGGGATAGAGCACAAGAAGACACGTGGCTTTTTAAAAAAACATGTTTTGTTTTGTTGTTGTTTTTTAATTTGCCAGAGAGAGCATGAGAGGGAAAGTGAGAAAGCACCCCTCACAGGGGCTGGTCACATCACAATCCCTTCTCCTCCATCTTTCTTGGGGTTTTAGGCATACATGCATGTGTGCCCAGTGTATTTTTCAAGCTGCTGGCTCCAGAACTCAAACTGCACATTTGGCCCTGTGGAATCCAGCCACCTTAACCACCATGCCACCAATTTTCCCTTAACATGTTTTTGCTTTACTTTTAATTATTATTATTTTTTAAATTTGTTATGAGAGAGAGAAAATGAGAAAGCAAGCCACCAGGTATGGGACTCGAACTGTGGTTGGTTGGCCATATGGGAATCCAGCACCCCAACCTGCCGGCCCCCTTCACATGGCTTTTTTAACTTGATGGAACAATCTAGTGACTGA